GGCTTGAATTGAAGTTGTAACGAGGAGTTACGATCCAGAAACTCTCAGTGGCACAACCGTAATTATTTTGAAATTTATTTTAATAAATCTCAGAAATCTCTCTCCACACTCTCTCTCCCTCTCCCTCTCGCTGGTTCGCACGACAACCCCCCCCCAAGCACAGCCGCATGCCTTCTCACCTTCGCAGCCACCACCGCAGGCCGCCAAGCACAGCCGCCACCGCCGTTGGAATTCGCCGGAAATTGCAGAAAAACAGCCGAAATTTTCATAAACTTCACGGAGCTCGTTCGGGTGATTCCGGCAACCAAATCTTGGGATCCAGGTATGGATCTTAAACCTCTCGAGCTGTTCTTGCTGCTGGTTGTGTTAGTTTTGAGAAATTTCTGTGTGTTTGTAGTCGTATAAGCGATTGAAAAATCTGCCAGTTTTAGCCTCCGATTTCAGCCATTCCCGTCGACTTTTTGGGGTAAGTCCAAGAACAAAAATGACTCCAAATGAGGTTTTACACATAGGGTAGGAAGCTTGGCTGGTGGTTTGGAGTTTTTTCGGCCGCCGGAATTTTATATAGACACCCACGTGCTGGCAGCGCGTGGGCAGGGTAGTGGGGCCACTCTTTGTCCTAAAATGATCTCCTGGTTCTCACGAGCGCGTAGGTACTTTCGGATTCCAATTTGGATAACGTTTGAACCCTGAACGGATTTTGCCTATTGTGCGATTTCCTGGTTCGATACGTTAGAACCGTTGAATCGCTTCCAATTTAATATATGTTGACCTCATAATTAGGATGCTTCAGCTGAGAGTCTTTAATGACCTTAATTCATCTATAGCGTATGGCCAACTTTTTAATCAAGGCATTTCTCATGTTATACTCTCTCTCCATCTCCATATTAAACAAGTTTGCTTATTTGAAAATCTAAGGGTTGTATGGTTTCTGGAGTGTGTGTGTGTGTGTGAAAGAGAGAGAGAGAGAGAGAGAGAGAGAGAGAGAGAGAGAGAGAGAGATCTGATCTGTCTCTCTATAAACTACTGGTGGATTTTCAATTTAGAATCAACAATATCTGGAAAAAAGGATTGGATGCTTGGCATGTAATGGCTTAGCAATTGGGAAGTATTTGTTTTAGGAGTCCTCGATTTGAAGATGCATGTTTTTGTGCACGTCTTACAAACGTGTACATTTTGTCTATCTGTCCAAACTGGTTTGGGCACAACTAATGTAACATCCAGATCCAAAATAAAAGGAATAGTGAATTAATTAATTTCAAGAATTATGAATTTGGAATTTTTCCCTCGTAGTCGGGGTAATTTGGTCATTTTTAATCCGGAAGGATTTCGGGGCAGTGGCTGGTACCTTTATGTAGGTCGTACTGAGACGAGTCCGTAAACATGCGGTAGGCTTGAATTGAAGTTGTAACGAGGAAGTTACGATCTAGAAACTCTCAGTGGCACAACCGTAATTATTTTGAAATTTATTTTAATAAATCTCAGAAATCTCTCTCCACACTCTCTCTCCCTCTCCCTCTCGCTGGTTCGCACGACAACCCCCCCCCAAGCACAGCCGCATGCCTTCTCACCTTCGCAGCCACCACCGCAGGCTGCCAAGCACAGCCGCCACCGCCGTTGGAATTCGCCGGAAATTGCAGAAAAACAGCCGAAATTTTCATAAACTTCACGGAGCTCGTTCGGGTGATTCCGGCAACCAAATCTTGCGATCCAGGTATGGATCTTGAACCTCTCGAGCTGTTCTTGCTGCTGGTTGTGTTAGTTTTGAGAAATTTCTGTGTGTTGGTAGTCGTATAAGCGATTGAAAAATCTGCCAGTTTTAGCCTCCGATTTCAGCCATTCCCGTCGACTTTTTGGGGTAAGTCCAAGAACAAAAGTGACTCCAAATGAGGTTTTACACATAGGGTAGGAAGCTTGGCTGGTGGTTTGGAGTTTTTTCGGCCGCCGGAATTTTATATAGACACCCACGTGCTGGCAGCGCGTGGGCAGGGTAGTGGGGCCACTCTTTGTCCTAAAATGATCTCCTGGTTCTCACGAGCGCGTAGGTACTTTCGGATTCCAATTTGGATAACGTTTGAACCCTGAACGGATTTTGCCTATTGTGCGATTTCCTGGTTCGATACGTTAGAACCGTTGGATCGCTTCCAATTTAATATATGTTGACCTAGACTTTCCTAGGATCGTGTAGGAATTCGCGGATCGTGAATCGAGGCCCCGGATGTTCCGATTCAATAAGTTAAAGTTTGCGTTTTACGATAACCGTCCTATCGTACGATCGCGAGTGATCCGACCGTCCGATCCGAACCAAACTTGTAGGACGTGTATCCTAGACCTTGTGGAGCCTATAGGAACTTTCGGATCGTAAAATGGAAGTCGTGGGTCCCGCGGGCCCAGTTGACCAAGTTTGGACAATTTGACCCTTGGTTGACCGTGAGTCTTTCGAGGTAATTTTACTCTTCGTAAAGTACTAGCATGACCGTGTGAACGAGTCTTAACCATTATTTGAGTTATTTTGATTTTATTGGGAGTATGAGCTTGTTTATAATATCTAATGGAATTCTTGGTTAT